AAAATAAAATAAACTCCCATCATAAAACAATCAAAATCTAGAGTATATTTACAGAGACTGGGGAATCCAGATACCCACTGAGCTTGAATATTTATGGGTGTCAGATTGAAAGTCAAGAAATCTGTGAGCTATTCAGAAACAAAACTTCATCAGCAGGCTATATCCCCAAGAAAAAGCTGATTGTGACCTTTTCCCCTGTAGCTCAGAAAAACCCACCCAGCAAGCAAACTTTAATGATAAAAGAAAAAATAATATTTCTGAAATTGACAAGTTTCTGAAACTGTATGGAACTTAATAAATTGTTATTCTCCTTAAAATTGTGTTCAGGGGACCATCTAGTATCTTTAGGGCTGTAATGGGCTATACATTATAATCTTTAGGGCTATACACTTTATAGGAATCATAAATATGTTGCTCAGAATTGGAGGTTTCATGTTGTGATATTGGGAAAAGGGTCTTTATTTTAAAGGGTCATCTCCAAAAATACAGAAGATCTGATGCAGATGAGGCGGTGAAGTTCTGGGGTCTTTTGGTAACTTGTAGACTTCACTACTTCTTCAGTTTTGTCTGAGCTGTTTGTTGCTTTACAATTCTTCCCATCAAAATTCCTGTTATGGTACTACATACACAAAGTGAAAACATACTTTCATTCAGCATCACCTTTATTTTAGATCAAGAGACAAACTAATCAAGAAAGAACAAAAGTAATTGTTCTGTAAAACTGTAAAAGAGTACATAGCTTGTGGGTGTACGCTGATATGTTCTTTTCTGAATGACGAGAACAAAAATGGCGGCAGAACGCTGCACACAAGAGTGTGCTAAGAAATATAAGGGTATAGTCTACCAAAAATAAATAATTATGACACTTCCATAACTATAGTACATTCATTATGATTCTGATCTAATGCCAGTGTGAGATATGGCCAGAGTACTAATGGTAGTCCAAAGGGTAGCTACCATTACTCAGCATGGCCACAACTCCCCACCCCTAGGACATGGATGGAGTGTGACTCCACAGTGGAAACAGCGGCTAAGCATGCACACCACTCCTAGGGGGACAGGGAACCAGGAGATGGAGAATTCCCATCCTCTTCCACCAGGCAACTGAATTAGGAGGGGAAATTAGGTGAAGGAAACATGCTGAATGAACAGCACTTTGAGGATCTGATCCTGATTCCTCTCCCCTGCAGCAAGTCCACAGGGGTTTCAACAACAGACTCTTCAATACTAATCCCTTGCCACTCCGTGTTAACACATCATCCACACAGCAGTCATGCTACTACTCTGCACCTTTCCCAACCTGACGGGTTTGGTTCAATCAGTGTGGAGCCACATAGATGCTCCTTACTTCTGCATAATCGTGAGCCAGAATTTGTCTGAAAGCATGAGACAGTTTTACAATATAACTAATATTCCCCTCCCAGTTCTAATGTTCACCCCAGGCTCTGATGAAAATGTAATGAGTGAATTCTTCCAGAACAGGCGCTCCTTTCTAAGTCGAGCAGTGTCCTTTTGCACAGATTTCCAGTGTTGCAGCATCAAGATAAGATTAATTCACAGCAGCAGCAGCAGCAATCTCCTCAACAGTGAACAGCAGTGAACTTCTCATATGGGTGGATTCTTCTCTGCCTGTCTGCAGTGTTAGCAAGGAGCGTGCTGCATCTCTGCTCTTTTTTCCCTCTTTATTCTTAACAACAAAATATCTTATGCTGTCGTCAGGAAAGCTGAAATAGAGACTCACTTGCATTCTATGCAGATAATAGTGACCGTTACTGCCAGAAATGGTTTTAGTTTATATGTAAACTCCACTCCTCCCTCCCCGACCCCTAACAACAATATGCTTGGATCCTGATTTATGCACTTTCTTCTGAGTTTAAAGTCATTTTGTGCATAGCAGTAGTGAAAGTGATGTTCAACATGGAAGTCATGCTGCGTCTGAATGAAGCTCAGCCATTGCAAGATTTTCTCAGGAGAAAATCAGCCTTCCTTTATGTATGCACAGAAAATCTTTCCATAATTTGAATTAAAAAAATAGTGGGCAACAAAGCTCTTGATCGTTTCCTGTGCACATGCATTTAACTATTCCATTCAGAGCCGATGAAGATTCTGAGTATTATACATTAAGATTCTTAGTTTTATTTGATCCACTGCCAATGTAATAAATGCCTGACTATGTTCAACAAACATTGGAAATGAACCAATCTGATTCAAAATTATCATGTCTTTTGCATTATACATCTATTCTGATTTACAGTTTAAATGCTTATATATAGATCTAGATATAGATAGTAACTTGGATTTTACATATTTTGGTTCATTTCTTCCTCTGATTATTAGTATGAATTTAAATGTATAAATTCAATTCTCTCTCTTAAACCTTAAAAAAAAGCAGATGTATTTTATCTGTTTTGTCTTAGCAGCAATATGCAAATGTAGTCTTCCCAGCCAAATCAGAAGTGGACACCTAATCTACAGTATAATGGTATTTTAATTTAGAATGGACTTTTTGCTTAACTCACATATATCTTATGCATTTAAAGGAAAACCATTTACAGAGGAGGGCAATAGTCCCTGGAGACACAACATCTCATTTTAAATTCAGTTGGCAAGAATACTAATTACATTATCACATATTAAGTTATTTATTTATTCATCCTTAAGACCCAGGATTCCTACCAGGTCAGTTCCAGTAAACACTGCCTTGAGAATCTCAGCCAATGGTATACAACAATAATTAGATATAGGGCTGTGTGAAAAATCTCACACACAAAAGCTAAACCTCGGAGTTTGCCTCTTTGCTAGCTTCATGACTGAGTGAAAAAAATGTGTGTTGCCATAAGCAAAAACAGTTTCCATGAGAATAAGAAAAAAAGAAATACTTTTTGGTCTATGCATGTTAAAGTTTGAGATCATAAAGGAAATGAGGCAGCTGTAAGTCACCATTTCAAAAGAGGAGGCTGCATTCCACAGTCTCATCCTGAATCATATACATGCTCAACTTTACTTATTCCACCTCAGCTGACTCTGAGGCAGAACAAAGAAATAACAGAATAATCCTATTTAAAATCTTTACAGGATTTTTATTTCTCAGGATGTTTGACTATAGATTAGAGCTATGAGATACTGGGAAAAATAGGGAAAGAAAGAAGGTAGAAATAAAGGTCTGGACTGGCATTTTATAGTTTGCCCTAGGGGGCTGTGGATAGTTTCATTGCCCTGGGAGTGGGGCTGGGACAAAACTAAGGATCTGAGATTCAGGGTTTATCTTCACTATGGTGTTAGCTTGAATTAACGACACTTGAGTTAACTCCTCTCAAGTTAGCCTGGTTTGAGTGAGAACAGTCACACTGCAAAACAACACTGGAGCAGCACGCAGAGTTTGTATTAGCAACATGGAGTAGCAAAGTCCCCACTGCTTTAGTAGCTCCGGCATCAACAACACTTGAGCTTCAATGGGCCAGCTAGCTTGTGTTTAAAGCACCACTTGATTTGGGCTGGAGATTTTTGTGTGTCCTGGGATTAGGGTTATGGGCCAAACTCGAGTTATGCCTCAGTCTAACCCAGCAGTGAAGACAAGCCTTGATCAGAGTTTGTACCATTTCCTCCTTGCTCCATCGAGGAAATAACCTTTTCCTGGTGCATTTTATTTCCTCCGTCAGCTCAACTGTAATGGCTAGTGCATTGTGGGAGGGGGCATGAAACAAAGGCCACACACACTCTGTGCCAATGCCTGTCTACTCTGTGCCCACCAGCACAGGATAGATAGTAGCAACAGGTGATGGCTGCTCTTCTTTCCATGCATGATCTGGCAGTACAAGTAGCTCAGGCAGGTGACTCTTTGTTTCCTCACCTCCCCACCTTCAGACTAGGCACTCAGGTGTGCTCACAGCGGAACCCTAAGATAGCAAAGAGGTGGAAGACAAACAACAGAAAGTAATCCAGTAGAAGAGATGAAAATAGATCTCTAGTGAGAAGAAAAAACCCACAATTTTAATTGTGCAATAGATCATCTCTTTAATGGACCTTCTTCAAAGAAACCCTGAGTAAAATGACTGTGACCTGTCCTGCAGAGGCATTGGAAGCATGGGGTTTCCAATATCTCTTTATTGTGCTATTGATAACAACCACACATAATCTGGTCACCCAAATTTGGCCAGGTTTCCAAGTCTCCGAAAAATCATTGCGTGCATATGCTTAGTGGAGACTTCTTAGATTTTAGCAGTGAAATTCCCTGAAAAAATAGCATGAGATCATATAGAGACTATATCATAATGTACACGAGGGGGATGAATTAAGGTTACACAAGCGATCATAACTTTGACATTTCCTTACCTTTAAATACTTTATCTTTGCAATCTTAATGGTGTTCTTTTAATGTAATTTTGTTCTGGGCACTATAAAAAGAACTTGCCCTCTAGTGACATTAGTTCTTCTTCACAAACTTAACCTTGCTTTGTAATCCCAATTTTAATCTGTCTTTAAATCATACACAGATTCCAGGGGGGCAGATCCTTAGCGAGTGTAGGTCCACTGGGGCTCCCAAGGCTAAATAAGTCTTCTTGCATAAAGTGGGAGGTTCTCGCATAGGCACAGAGTTTCTATTCCGCTGGGGGGTGCTTCCCTCAGCTCTGCCCAGGACTCCCCCCCACTCCCCCCAGTGCCCAAACACCACCCCGCCCCTTCCCGCCCTTTCCCCACCAAGTTCTGCCCCTTCCTCAAGCATGCTGAGCCCTCACTCCTACCCTCTTCCCCCCAGCACCTTCTGATGCCGCAGAACAGCTGATTGCGGCAGGTGGTAGGCGCTGGGAGGCGCTTATCGGCAGGGCCCACTGGCGGGCAGGAGGCACCTAGGGGAGGGGGAGGTTCTTGTAGGGGGGCTGCCAGTGGGCGTTCAGCACCCACCATTTTTTTCCTGTGGGTGCTCCAGCCCCGGAGCACCCATGGAAGCAGTGCGTATGGGTTCTCATATTTGGATCTCATTTCTCCTGTTCTCTTACCAGGCTTCTTTAATCTCCACCAGTCTGCCAGCTCCCCAGGACCCTGTAACCACTTCCTGCTCAGCCCATTCTATGCTCTTCTGTCAATCCATTCTTCACCCAACCCACTTCTGAAGCAGATGACCAGAGTGAAGAGACTAGGACTAATCAGAGGGATGTTCTGATAACAGGTAGGTATTCCCCTGATTGGCACTGGGCTGCCCTCCTCTGACCTTCTGTTTCAGGCAGAGCGAGGAATGTTTGTGACTGGAATTAAAGCCCATTCATGCCCCGGTGAACTCAATGTAAGTTTAACCATTAACTTCAAAGAATGTACAGAGTTGGGCCTTTATATTCATAGATATTAAGGCTTTAAGGGTCCCTTATGATCATCTAGTCTGACCTCCTACATAATAACACAGGTGATAGAACTTCAACCAATAATTTCTGCATTAAATCCATAACTTCTGTTTGAACTAGAGAACATCTTTTAGAAAGACATCCAGTCTTGATTTAAACACTGCTACTAATGGAGAATCCCATAGGCCCTAGGTAAATTGTTCCAATGATTAATTACCCTCACTGTTTGTTCATTATTTCTGGTCTGAATTTGTCTAGCTTCAGCTTCTAGACATCGGATATTGTTAGGCTGTTTGTTGCTGGACATGTCTACTATCAGTAATCCCTTCCCCATGTAGGTACTTACCATGATCAAGTCATATAGTAACCTTCTCTTCAAATAGATTGATCCCTTGAAGTCTGTCACTATAAAGCATGTTTTCCAGACCTTGAATCATTCTTGTAGCTCTTTTCTGAATCTTTTCCATTCTTCAATATCCTTTTTGAAGTGTGGAAACCAGAACTGGATAATATTCAAGTAATTGTCTCACTCACTATATAGAGGCAATACTGCCTCCTCCTAATATTCCCCTGAGTATTCATTCAAAGATCATGTTAGCCCTCTCAGCTATGGCATCACAATGGGAGCTTCAGTTCTATTGGTTATCTACGATGACCCCTAAATCCTTTTCAGTATCGCTGCATTCCAGGATACTGTCTTCCATCTTATAAGTTTGACCTTCATTGTTTGTTTCTATATATATTAGCTTGCATTTGGCTGTATAAAAATGCATGTTGTTCAAATGAGCCCACCTTGCCAAGAAATCCTGATTGGTCTATATAATTGACCTGTCCCCATCATTATTTACCATTCTACCAATTTTTGTGTCATCCAGAAATGGCTTCAGATTCTCTTCCAAATCACTGATAAGAATATTAAATAGTATTGAGTCAAGAACATTACCCTGTAGGACCCCACTAGAAACACCCCTTTTGGATGACAATTTATCACTTAATCCACTATTATTCGTTTAATATGGGCTTAATTGACTTCGTATAATACTAATATTTCTATCAGAATGTCAATGAATTGAACGTGGGGGTACTAGAAAGAAAGTGGTATATGGCAAGTTGGTTTATAAGTTCAAATGAAATAATATCTAACCTAAAGCTTCACCCCAAAGATCACCAAACTTAAATATTTGAGCTTCATTTGCTGTTTCTTTTTGGTTGTCATTTTACATGTTCACATATCTCGACAATTCCTGGCTTTTGGGTACAATAAGTAATGGAAATTCTGTAATGGATACAATCCTTGTAGCATTTCTGACCTGACCCTAAGTATTATTGTTATTTATTGTTGTTTCTATAGAGCTGGAAACACCCCTGAAGCCCAGAAGTGGGGATGTCCAGAATCTGAACCTGGAGATCAATTCAATCCAATGGTTTCCTGCAGTACCTCTGCAACAGGCCAAACCAAAACCTTGGATATGAATAACAATGGACTTTGCAGTGTTTGAGGATTGGGTCCAAACCTATTGCCCTAGCTTCCCTGTGTTCTGAATATGACCATAACACAGTGATCTCTTTAAATATTACCTTATTGTCTCAACAGTTCTTTCATCTCCCAGACTTAGTTCAGTCTGAATTGTCTAAAAAACATTGTAGGATCTTTTATCAATGCAATTTTTAAAAGCATGAATTAAATCTTATCATTAGTGGCCTTCATGGCAATACAGTCTAGGCTAAAGCTGTTAAATAGAAAAGGACTCATTTTCTAAACAGGCCCCCATGGGGATTCTGTGTCTTCAGAACTGATGACTGATTAAATTAAATGAACCAAAGCTTAATACAAGTACTGTGTTTTAGCCTTGTTGTACAGTACTGGTAAGAATATGCTTTAGCAGAATGGAGCAAACAGTTTACTGGATTTCAGTGGGACTATTTGTGGAGTTAGCTACTGCTCAGTGAGAGTAATCGTGGCAGAATCAGACTCACAATAATTTATTTGAAGATATTTTTTTCCTATTTTTCTTTCCTCAAATTAATTTTTTTTTTAATTACTCAGAATGATTTTGGCCTTTTTTTGGTCTCAATATTGTTCATGATTATTAGACTGTAAGCTTTCAGTGTTTGTAATTGCAGCTGTGTGGGTTAGTTTTCATTGTACTCATAGTTCATGTAACAGGTTTCTGCTTCCAGATTGGCTTGAATAACTCTTAAAATGTTACATTTGCAAAATTAAAATTCACTTTCTGTGGCTATTTCTCAGTATTTCCTTATTCACTGTTTCCCTGAATATTCCTGCCAGTAAATTAAGTGTATAGAAGAACACTTATGGAAATCAAACCCAGAAGTGATTGGAACACATTCTAAATAGGTACTTACAGTATAGCTCATTGTTTTCACTTGTAACTGAACCTGTTTCCACAGTATATGATCGTGGTTTACTATGGGGATAAGAACATTCACTGGCTTCCAGCTGTTCATGCCCGTATTGAAGTGAACCAGCTTCTTGATTGTCATTCTAGACGGTGGGTTTGTTTCTCAAACCCAACAGCTTAAACTTCCCTTAGGAATCAATTGCTAGCCAGTGAAAGTGGCAGAGCAGCAATTTAATGTGTTTTCTGAGGAAAGCAATGCTAAATAAGTGGGCAGATTAATTCTACATTTCCTACAATTTCCTAATGCTTTTAAGTATAGGCCCATGCAGAGTGTGCTACAGTAATCTAAACTCAAAGTGACAAAAACATGAAGAACAAAAGTTGTCTTGGTAACAGCTGCAGCCTGGGTATTCAGGAGTATCTGGGGATCCAACAAGATGACAGAGATTACAAAACCTTCAAAGAAGTGGTGGGCAAACCTCTCAGCTATGCAACCTCCAGCAGTTGTCCTGGTTGCTTCCCCATCCCATAAGTATTATCTTGGTTTTATCTTGGTTGAATCTCAGCCAAAATAGCTCTCATCCCGTCCCCGGTTTATGACAGGCACCTAATCAGTTGCTCCACTGTGACTGAGATTGAAATATAGAGCATGATGGCATCAGCACACTGAAGACCCCACAGTGAATGTTTCTTCATTAACACTGCTTACAGCACCAGAAGCATGGCAAGTAGGAGCGTGACAAGATGCAACCCTGTTGAGCCCTGTTTTACAGGAGCCTCTGCTTTGATGAGCAATCAGCCAGTACTAACAACTGCAGTTTCCCTGAAACAAAAAAATCGAGCCAATTCAGAATGATTCTGCCTCTCCGACTATGCTCCACCAGCCTGTCATAGTCACCCACACCTCATAGTCGAGTATATTGAGCTGTAGAGAATCAGCATGGACACCTGACCATATTCCATTGCCAAGAGGAGAATATTGACCAACATCCTTAGAGCACTTTTCATATTATACTCAGGCCTAAAGCAAAAATCAACAGTGGTCAAAGAGACTTGTGATTGTATAATGTCTCCATCCAAGGAAGTGTTATAGTTTTGATCTGCTCTCCCCTTACCACTACATCCTGCCATATACTTCATGCATAGGACTCATTTGCCAAACATAATGATTTGCAAATATCATGCTGGAGATTGGACATTAGCTAGTACGCGGGTGCAAGCCTAAGATCAACTGTGCAATTTATTCAGATCATTCTTATCTAGATTAGAGACATCAGCTAAGCTCATAAGTTTCATACAAAACTATAAATCAGGCATACAGATGTTACTATCACAATATATTTTTCCCAGCAGGATGGGTATTAAGATATCCCACCCATCTAGTTGCATACCGCTACTCCACAACTGACTCTCCTGAGTATGTGGAAGTGCAGAGAGCTGTCATGTTGTTATCCTACTTCCCCTCCTTACAAGAGTGAGCTGAGGAATGTTATCATCAACAGTATTACCGAATGGTACTCCTCAGTGTAGCTCAAGGTATCATAGTACTATGATGCAAATCATCTAAAAAGTGGTGTTCAACCAAAGTAGGTTAAGGTATTCAAATTATTTAACCTTCCCCTAGGCCTCTTAACATTATGATGTCCAATTTAGAGTCTAGTCTGTGGTCTTCCAGTTTTCTCATAATATTCCAATTTTGTTTGCTAAAATGTCACTAAGAAATTATATGTCCAGCTGGAAGAATGCAAACAAACCAGAGTCTTTCCTGGGACTACAGGAAATACATTTACAGTATTAAGGAAAATCATAAGATGAAAGGAAGCTGGGTGCCCACATCCTCAACCATATGCTGCATGCTGTGCCCCTCTCTAGAAGCACAAACTAATCAGAAAGCCAATTTAACTTGCTGGTAGGAGATTCCCCAATGATAGGGCAATCCCTGAATGGCATAGGGTTGCCATAGCCACCAATATGCCACTATCACTGCAGTGTAAAGGGGCACCATTAGAGAACAGGGGCCATAACTGGAGCACTACTACACTCCAGCAATCCCTAGCTACTAGAATGACCTCTTATGGGCTGTTGCAGTCAATGCAAGTTAGAGCATCCTTCAGGTTCTAAGTAGTTTGTTAGGAACAGGTTGGTACCACATGACCTGAGAATTACAGAGCCACCTTTTCATCCTGCATCCTGAGGTACATGGGACACAGAAATCTGGAACAACCCCAGAATGCAGTCTGGGCAACTTATCCATGCCTGTCCTTGTCTTGAACAATCAGTTGTACCCATTTGTGCAAATGCCAGTTAAACTGTTTTAGAAAACTGTTAAACTGTTCGATCTATAGTAATGTATTTTACGTATACTATTGAGTAGGCTCTGGATAAAGAAATTCTACCTAAATTTCCCTGTGTCTGTACAAACTTTGTCAGTTTACTCCTGTTCATTGTTTATATCATGGTGTAAATGTGTATGGCACCTTTCAAAACACATAAAGACAGTTAAAAGCCCCTAACTTTTCCCACCTAAAGTTAGAGACAGAACTCCCATTGTTCTCTGTGGTGCAGTATCAGGCTCTAAATGTGAATTTACACCACAGAAGGCAACGGAAGTTTTGTCACTAATTTTAACTGGAAACTAATTTGAACCCTGTTGTAGCATCCCTCCTGTATACTTCAGAATTGCATAAATGCCACTGAGACCGTCATTTAATCGCTTACTTTTCCATTCTAGAGAATTCTAGAGAGGCTTTGAGGAGGTTCTGAAAATAGCAGACCCAATCTGGACCTTCCTCAAAAAGTCAAACCAAATACAAAAATTTTTTAAAAATTTCAAATGAATGCATCCAAACTTTCGTATTTTCACTTTTACAAAACTTCTTCATTTGCTGGTATCAAATGGGAGCCTAAAGCATCAAAATGCCACAAGAAAGGCTATTGTGGTCACTCAGAACCATCCCAAATCAGGAACTACAGTATAGCAATCTACTTGGAAGGCAGAGCACAGGTTGCAGGAGGGAACAGTTTGGAGGAGGCACCAGGAACTCAGTCTGCATACACGTGGTTAGAAGCAGTTGAAGCATCTCTGTAAATAGTTGTCTTAATAAAAAGCCACTTCAATTTTACAAGCATGGAATCATTTCATATGATTTATTACCCAGCACATGGTACATGAAACATACAGGAAATCATTTGAGAACTTGATTATGCAAGATTTCCAGACAAATTTCTAAACTAAAGTGGTTCAACTAAGAACCTTATGGTCTGAATTGTTTTCTGCAACAGACTGAACCTCAGAACCTTTGGAGTAGGTCAGAAAATTTAAACAAAACCAAACTTTTAAAGGAAAACAGCAAAAAATACTCTCAAATTGTTTCTTTTTGTTTTCTGACTAGTTGCTCTTTTGAGGTTTCCCCTTATTAGTGATGTAGTATGCTCTGCCATTAAAGACAAAACAGATAGTCAAGCAGGGTAGTAAAATGCTGAAGTTGATAATTGTGAGTGGATCTAAAGAAGGACCATACATTTAGTAGAGGTAGATTTGAACCAAAACTTCCCTGAACTTTGAAAGTGTTGGATCCAGACGTGAAACCAAACATTGGAGCACGGCCCTATCTCTGATGTTTGCTTGGAGCAGGAAACCCGTAAGTAACCTAACTGAACTCATATTTTTGAGTAACTAAAAGCCTTGAGCTTCTTTGGCATTCTGGTTGTCTTCCCTTGTGCTCTTTCTTGTGCCTTCTTCATTTTGAGAGTATATTCTTTGATTAAAGAAAAAGCAGCCAGGACTGCAGTATTCTTAAAATATTCAACTTTCTCTTCTTTTTGTACCACATTGGAATAATGTCCTCTAAATTATATTTCCTCTCTTTATAGTGGCAGAGCTCATGAATTTCATACATCAAAAGATCTCAGCAGCTTCCCTTGAGACTTTGTGATAGACTGTGGCATTCGAAGCCCATATTTCCATGGGAAATAATGGCCCTGACCATGGTAAAACATTTTATCAGTGTAGCATTATCTCAAGGTAATAGCACTATTAATGCTTGTCACCACTGTATGTTTCCCATAATTTGGCTTGTTGGGTTTTTTTTACTGCTGTTCAGCGGAGTACTGAATGCTTAAGAGTTTTATCACGCACACACAGCCTCAGATCTGGTTCCGAGATTTTTAATTCATAAAGCATCCAGGTTGAAAGTACCTCACAGCCATACTTGGTTTTTGTCACTTTTTTCTAATCTCCTTACCAAAGACGTACCTCTACATAAAACTGCATAATCTCTCCTTATCTAGCCATGTTTCTGGTTTATTCAAGTCATTGGAACTGTACTGAATTAAAATTGGAACTGTACTGAATTTGATAGTATCTGTTATCTCTAACTAAACTTATTCAGTAATAAGTATACTTTAGCCTGACCTCCCATTATTTCTCCTTTGAGCTACTCTGTTGGGGCAAAGATACCATAAGGCAGGCCAGCTGAGAATTCCCTTGGCATGAGGGGAGTATTGTAACAATAGCCAGTGGAAGAGAATGTGGTCAGATTATCTTTGTGCACCAGTCCCCATCTGCCACTCCAGCCTTGTAGGGGTTGTTACCAGCTGGTGTGACTTAGAACAGCTTCAGGGTTGCTCTAAATTGCAGTAGGGGGCCACAGCAGCCTTTAGCTGACCCAGGGATCAGGGAAGCACAGAGGTGGCATAACACTCTCCTGCCCCAGGTCTTTCATTGATAACAGCTTATAAGGAAACTAGAACTGGGGACAATGTCTATTAAAATTACCTTTTATTTTCCATTCTGTTTTTTTAAACAGCATAATACAATGGGCCAGTTCCTCAGCTGCTATGTATTGGTTTTGCCCCAAAGACGCTATGCTGATTTACAC